AAAAGTGGAAAAATGATTAATTTATCCAGGCTACTGCTTTTAAATGTTTTTTATTTGATTTAGTTAACTCTTTACTTCAGCCTTATTATTCCTCCTTCTACTTTTAGTTTATTTTATTATCCAGGTCCTAATGATATGGCTAATGCATAATGATATGGTTACTGCATAATGATTATGCAGTAATCTCAGTGCTATTTATTTTCATATCACCTCAAATTTCACTTTTGATTTTTTCTTTAAAAGAAGTATTATTTTAAATTACAATGTTATAATTAAAATTTTAAACAATTTTATATTTTTTAAATGTTTAGTTTGGCCTTAATTATTAATGTCCAGTTGTACTGAATGTGGTCAGAGAATGCAGACTCTATGGTTATAATTTTTGTGAATTTATTAAGATTAATGTTGCTACCTACTACATGACCAATTTTTTAAAAGTATCCTCAGATTTTGAAAACAATGCTGCTTCTCTTGGTATTCAGTTTAAAAACTTCCTTTGCAGTGCTATTTAAATCCTTTTCATCATCCCTTCTATTTTTCTCCATGATTAATTAATTTTTGAAAGAAATAAAAATCTCATGCTGTGAGAAATTTTCCCTCATTTGTAACACACCATAATATCTGGGCAGATACACTTGGTCTGACAGTTGTCTTCAGACTTTCATCTGCATTTTATATCTACAACGGGGGGTGTGTGTGTGTGAGTATGAATGTGTGTTAAATGAGGTTTAAATGAAAATCAGACTTCTGACAAATTTCTGAGCAGGAGTTTGTTTTCTAACTACTTTATAAATACTTAAATTCACATAGTTAACAACACATTTTTAGTACATCTTTGACATCTAAGATACTTAGACATGTAAATCTCACTAATTACTATATTATCTTCATAAAAGAACATTTCAATCCTCTTTCTTTTCTAAAATAAATAAGTAGATGAATATAAAACAAGCACAGAAAAATAGTAAAGGATCTTTAATAAGTTGTAATCTAGAAAAGGTTTCGAACTCATGTGATAGAAATTTTTTTATGAAAAAAGTAGTATTATTAAAAAAGATTGTCATTTTCACATCAAGTTTTTAATTAAAATGACTACTGCAAAAGTTGTAATCACTATCTTCATGCCCAAAAGAATTATTTGTAGTTTGATAAAGTAAATACCTTCAGAGGTTCCAGTTCAAGATATGGCATAGGAGGATCCTTAACTCACCTCTTTCCCCGGCACACCAAATCTACAACTACACATGGAACAATTTCCTCTGAAAGAAATTCAAAAACCAGCTGAGTGACTCCTATACACTGGGCAAACAAGGAAAAAACCCATTTTGAAATGGACAGGCGGCTAAGACACAATCTAACCACTAACTCTACTGGCACAGTGACCCACAATCAGGAGAGAACCCACAACTCTCAGCTTCCCTCTGAGGAGTGAAGGATTTGAACCCCCAATCTGATACCCCAATTTTTAAGACGCACACCTAACAGACAAGCCCCCAAAACATTTAGCTTTGAAAGCCAACAAGGTTTGTGCCCATGAGACCCACAAGGCTATAGCAAACAGAGAAACGGTTCTTAAAGGGATCATGAGCACTCACTGTGGCTACACCCTAGTACCCAGTACAAAGGGAGCCAACTGAAACACCCAATATTTCTGTGAAAGAGACCTAAATGCTTATCTTAAAGCCCTGGCCTGAGGGGCAGGCATCTAATTTAACACATATCTAGAGGTTTACTGAGCACTCTCAAAAGAGAGGCAACTGGTGGGTACCATCTTTGCATTCTCCCTTTGCCTCACTCCAGGTCACTGCTATCTTCTGGAAAAGAGCTTGGTACATGTCTGCTGCCCCAGTTTTTGTGGTTGCCACCCAGGGGATACTCCTTGATCACCTGACGCTGGTGGCCAGAGTGGTATACATTCACAGGTCCCAAAGGACTGTACAATCAGAGAAAGAGTTCTTAGCTGGCAACCACCCACAGGGTAAAATACAGAAGCAACAGCCTGAGGCACCCAGTCTCTCTGTGAAAGAGGTCTATTAGCCTATCTTCACAGCTACAACCTGACGGGGAGGCTTCAAATTAAACGCACGTCTAGGGGCCAACTACAAGAGATGGGAAGGACAGTGGGCACCAACTTTACACACTCCCTGTAACCAGCAACAAGTTGCTGGTATCTCTGAGCAAGGAGCTTGTGCACACATTTGGTACACCTGCTTTTGGGGCTGCCGCCCAGAGGAAACATCCCTTGACAGCCTGGCTCTAGTGGCTAGCAGGGCTTGGGTTCAAGGGTTCAACAGGATGAGGGCAAAGGAAGAAATAGTTTTTAACTGACTATCTCACAGGGCTCAGTAGAGAGAGACCAAATAGAAATGCTTGTCTCCTAGCCTTCCACTGAAAGAGATATATTTGCATAACTTAAAAGGTGCTGCTTAAAGTATGACTTCTAGAAAGGGATAAACTCCTAGAAACACACAATCTACCAAGACTGAATCATGAAAAAGTCAGAAAATCTCAACAGACTGATTACTACTAAGGAGATTAAATCAGTAATCTAAAAGTTCCGAACAAACAAACTTCTAGAACCATATGGCTTCCTTCATGAAATCTACCAAACATTTATAATACCAATCCATCTCAGGCTATTTTGAAAAACAGACTATGAGAGAACACACCCATATTCATTTTATGAGGTCAGCATTATCTGATACCAAAATCAGACAATAACACTACAAAGAAAGAAAATTACAGGCCAATATTGCTGAAGAACATAAATGCAAAAATCCTCAACAAATATTAGCAAACAAATTCAACAACACATTAAAAGGATCATACACCATAATCAAATTGGATTTATTCTAGGGATGCAAGGATGGTCCAACATGCACAAATCAATCAATGTGATACACCACATTAACAAAATGAAGGATAAAAATCACATAATCCTCTCTACAGATGCAGAAAAACATGTATCTGTGATACAAACCCTCAACAAAGTGGGTATAGAGGGAACATACCTCGAGAGAATAAAGGCTATAAACAACAAAGCCCCAGCTATATCACACTCAACAGAGAAAAGCTGAATGTTTTTCCTTTAAGATCAGAAATAACACAAGCATGCCCACTCTCAACACTTTCATTCAACATATTATTGGAACTCCTAGCCAGAACACTAATGCAAGAAAAAGAAATGAAAGGCATTCAAAACAGAAAGGAAGAAGTAAACTATTTCTCTTTGCAGATGACATATGACATACAGAAAACTCTAAAAACTTGATCAAAATAACTGTTACAACTAAGAAACGAATTTACTAAAGTTCTATGATACAAAATCAATATACAAAAATCAGTTTGATTTCTATTCACTAATAATAAACCATCAGAAAGAGAAATTAAGAATATAATACTATTTACAATTGCATCAAAAATAATAGAATACCCAGGAATAAATTTAACCAAGGAGGTGATAGATTTGTACACTGAAAACTCGAAGACAGTAATGAAAGAAACTGAAGACCCAAATAAATGGAAAGATATTCTGTGCTCAGGACTGGAAGAATCAATATTGTTAAAATGTCTATACTACCCAAAGCAATGTATAGATTCAATGAAACAGAAATAGATTTAGATATAGAAGAGAAACAGAAATAGATTCAATAAAACAGAAATAGAACAAACAATCCTAGAATTTGTATGGAATCACAAACCCAAAGTAATCTTGAGAAAGAAAAACAAAGCTGGAGACATCATGCTCCCTGATTTCAAACTATATTACAAAACTGATCGGTGATGATTTTTTGGATTTGACACCAAAAGCAAAGGCAAAAAGAGCAAAAATAAGTAAGTTGGACTACATCAAACTAAAAAGCTTCTGCACAGCAAAGGAAACCATCAACAAAATGAAAAGCAACCTACTGAATGGGAGAAAATATTTGCAAATCATGTATCTGATAAGGTATTAATATCCAGAATACTTAAAGAACTCACACAACTCAATAGCAAAAAACAAACAATCTAATTAAAAAATGGGCAGAGGTTCTGAATTGACATTTTTCCTAAGAAGACATCTAGATGGCCAACAGGTACATGAAAAGATACTCAGCATTACTAACCGTCAGGCAAATCAAAAACCACAATGAGATATCATTTTACGCCTGTTAGAATGGCTATCATCAAAAAAAGACGACGTAATAAGCGTTGGTGAGGATGTGACAAAAAAGCAACGCTTGCGCACTGTTGGTAGGATTATAAATTGATGCAGCCACTATGGAAAATAGTATAGAGGTTCTGTGAAAAATTAAAAATAGAACTACTGTATGATCCAGCAATTCCATTTCTGGGTACTTATCCAAAGGAATAAAAAACGCTAACCCAATAAGATATCTGATGCTCACTGCATCATTATTTACAATAGCCAAGAAATGAAAACAACCTAAGTGTCCATTAATGGATGAATACAGAAAATACTGTACATATATACAATGGAATATTATTCAGCCATAAAAAAGAAGGAAATCTTGCCATTTGCTACAACATGAATGGACATCACGGGCATTAAGCAAAGTGAAATAAGCCTGCCAGAGAAAGACAAATATCGTATGATCTCACTTATATGAGGAATCTTAGAAACAAATAAACAAGTAAACAACTCATAGTTACACAGAACAGATTTTTAGTTACTTGAGGCAGTGGGTGGGTAAAACAGTCAAGATGGTTAAAAGGTAAAACTTCCAGTTACAAAATAAATAAATCCTGGGGATGTAATTTACAGCATAGTGACTATAATTAATAATACTGCATTGCATATTTGAAAGTGGCTAAGAAAACATCTTAAAAATTCTTATTACAAGAAAAACTAATTTGTAACTATGTGTGGTGATGGATGTTAACTAGACTTATTGTGATAATTATTTCACAATATATACACATACTGAATGATTATGTTGAATCTCTGAAACTAACATAACGCTATAGGTCAATTATACCTCAATAAAAAAATAAAATACCTTCAGATTATATTTATGAGCTTTATCCAAAATACCTGGTACCAAGTCATCAGTAGGTTCTCCATTCTCATCCTTTGAATGGGGTGGGTACCAAGACAGGGCTAGTACACCTAATAGAAAAGACCAAAAAGAAAAATAAACACAGGAACAGGAAAGACTGCAGGTATTCTAAAAACAGGCAGAATAAAGACCAAATTGTTACCAATAAAAAAAACACATATTCTCACATAAGGTTTTTTACTTTACTTACATATTACCTTTGTTTATTCGATTACTTTGTATAGTCAATATATGAACTCTTTATCAGGCATTATTATCTTTTAATTAATTAAAAGATTTTTCTTTCTAGAGCAAGTTTTAGGTTTACAGAAAAATTGCACAGAAAGTACAGAATTCCCACAAACTCCCCTCCTACCCATCACTCATCGATCACACATACAGTTTCTATTGTTATTAACATCTTTCAGTAGTGTGGTACATTTGTTACAACTGATAAGCCAATATTGACCCTCAGTACCAACTAAAGTCCCGAGTTTACAATAGGGTTCACTCATTGCATTGTACAGTTCTATGGCTTTTGACAAATGCATAATGTTATGTGCCCATCATTACAATATCACACAGAATAGTTTTACTGCCCTCAAAACCCCTTGTGTTCCACTTATTCATCTCTCCTCCCGCTCCCCATCAACGCCTGGGACAATTATTGATCTCTTTGCTATCTGTATAGTTTTGCCTTTTCTGGAATGTCTTATAGGTGGAATCATAAAGTAACTTTTTCAGACTGTCTTCTTACACTTAGCAATACGTATTTAAGGTTCATATGTCCTTCTAAGGCTTGATAGCTCACTCTTTTTATGGCTGCATATTATTCCACTGTATGGATATACCACAGTTTGTTTATCCAATCACCTATTAAAGGACATCTTGGTTGCTTCCAATTTTTGACAATTATGAATAAAATTGCTATACACTCATATGCAGATTTTTGTGAGGTCCAATATCTTTTAACAGAAGATTCGAGAAATAAAAACAATTATATTTTCTCCCTGTAGTCCCTACTAACTTTTGGACTGATAAATTACAAAAAAAAAAAAAAAAAAAAAATTGTAGAAACATAAGCCCAAAAAAAAGAATCACTAACTGGAGAGGGAACATGTGAAATTAACTAATTCAAAGCCTCCTTGCATATATAAAGAAATAAGAGGCCATTAGAAAGACAATACTAATTTCTAAACCAATCAACAGATTCTTTAAGGTAAGGAGAGAAACACAGTGGTACCAAAAGCCAAGAAAGTGGAAATCCAGGAAATGTAAGGTTAGAAATTGGCAGAGAACTAACTTGTAAGACAAACTTTGTGGCAGCCATTCCACGTACAAACAGAGCAGTACCATCTAGAGGAACAAAACAGAACTTTCACTAAATAGAAAAAAGATGTCTATGTCCCCATCCACTCTGAAAATAAGAAGAGAAACAAGAACGTAAGAGGTAGGAAAAAGAACCTATAACATATGGGGCTTCAGGGAAACTTTTGGCTAGCCAAGAAGGAATCATATATGGACAAAAACGTAGGTAAGAAAAGTGTCTGGAGACAAGTGATGAAATATTCAAGCTGCCTACTAGCCCAGTTTATAGGAAGAAGATCACCAATGAAAAGAAGAATGACAGTAAGAATTTTCTCAGCATGGGACCTATGAAAAAATCCTGCAAAAAAAATGAATGGAAAAATAATACATGAGAGAAAATAATAAAGGAGGAACACACAAAAGAAAGATTATGCCATAAAGCTCAGGAAAATTATGAGCACTGTATTCTTCCCTGAAATTAAAACCAAAACAAAATGCCTGTTTCTAACAATAGTAGATTAGGTTACTTAGACCAAAATTTCCAATGAAAACAAATTATTAAATAAAATACGGAGAACAAAACTTCTTAAAACCAAAAAGCTGAAGAGCCTGTCCAAACTGAAGTGAAAATGTGAAGTCAGAGAAGTGAGCGAGGAAGCCAGTTTGCTGGAAGCATAACTGGCAAAAGTAAACCAGCTCTTAAAAACAACAGATTAAATCCCAAATTGGCCATGCTTGGGAAGTCCTCTAGCTTTAAATTTAATTTAAAATAGCTAACATTTTCTATTGTATTGGACAGCACAGATATAGAGCATTTTCATTATCATAGAAAGTTCTGTTGAATAGCATTGCTAGATGATTCTGATTCTTTTAACACCCTAACCAACTCATTCTTGTCTAGTGATTTTTGTTCCTCCCTATGCTTTCTGAATATGTAGATTAAGGCACAGGGAGTATGTTCTTTGTTCTTCCTTATCCTATTATTGTGTTTCAGCTTCTTTACTGTATCAATTATCACTTCCACATGTCTAATTCTACCCCAATCCTCTGCTCCACACTCCAATTTATCTTTGTACAGTATCTTTTGGACTGTGTCACTCATGAGCTCTGAATATGTAATGGCCTGGGAACCAAGCCAATGATGGTCCTACTCCTGAGGGGAGCTGGACCACTTACAATGGTAATGAATCCTTCACAGTAACCAAAAAGGTTTCTCGAAAATACATCAACCAAGTATCATTTGTAAGTAAGATCTATTACTGCGTATTTCTACCATTCCAATTCCTTCGTGAAAAAGGATACTCTATGAAGTCCATTCTTAGAATATTAGCATGATAAATGCAGATCATATCATATTGATCTTGTCATCCCTCCATAGCACTTATCACAGCACCTTCAATGTAACTAATAGTTTGCTTGTTAAGTTCAATGATGCATCTAAACAGGGTAATAGTTAAGAACACAAGATACGACATTAGGTAGACCAGAGAATCAAGTCCCAATTTTGTCACTTGACAGGGGTTTATATTTAGGTAAGTTATTTCACTTAAGTTTCCACACTTGTAAAGTGGGAATAAGTTCAGTTCATAACCTAAAAGTCTGTTTTAAGAAGTATAAATGAGAGAATGTATTATGCAGAGTAAGACTCCCTCCAAAACTGATTAAAAAAAACTTAATAACAAGAAGACAGGAAAATGGTAAATAAATTTGGATACCTTTAACTCCACAGAGCTTGTGATAGCTTCTTTTATATATAGGAACCTTACTTAGTGCTGCTTTCAAACATCTTAAACATTCTTTCAAACTACAGATTTAGCCTTAAGAAAGGCAAGCCTATTTCCAGACATAAACACTATTATCACCACAAAGAATGACACACTTTCAACTAAAAATTAAAAGGTACATAAAAATGCAAGAAAAATAATACACTGCCAAGAGACAAAGCAATCAATAGAACCAGATTCAGATAAGAAAGAGATGCAGAAATCATTAAACAGGGAATTCAAAATTTCTATGATTAAAATGTTAAAGGATCTAATGTGAAAGACAGTCAACATGTAAGATGAGTGGGAAATATTAGCAGGGAGATGAAATCTGTAAGAATCAAACAGAAATGCTAGAAGTGAAACAAACATTAAAAGATATGAAGAATGACTTCAAGAGACTCATGAACAGATTCAACAGAGCTGAGGAAAGAGTCAGGTAACTTCAGGCAACTCATAAGAAATAACCATAACTGAAATATAATGAAAAAAAAGACTGGGGTAAAACACACAAAACAACACATCTAATAGCTCTCGGATAAATACACGAACAATTGTACATGAACAACTTGGATAGCCTAGATAAAATGGACAAACTCCTGGGGCCAGCCTGGTGGTGAAGTGGTTAAGTTTGTGCACTCCACTTTGGTGGCCTGGGATTCACAGGTTCGGATTCTGGGCGTGGACCTAGCACCGCTCATCAAGCCACACTGTGGTGGCATCCCACATAAAACAGAGGAAGAGTGGCACAGATGTTAGCTCAGCAACAATTTTCCTCAAGCAAAAAGAGGAAGATTGGCAACAGATGTTAGCTCAGGGTGAATCTTTCTCAGTAAAAAATAGAGAAATAATAAAAGGTAAAAGTTTTGTGCAGCAAAAGATACTATCAACGACTAAAAAATGCAAAATACAAAATGGAAGAAAATATTTGCAAACCATCTATCTGATGAGATTACTATCCATAATAAAGAGAGAACTCCTAAAACTCAACAGCAAAAGACCCACCAGATTTAAAAATGAGCCAAGGACTTGAACAGAAATTTCTCCAAAGTAAATATACAAATGGCCAATAAGCACATGAAAAGATGCTCAACATCACTAATTATTAGGGAAATGCAAATTGAAACTACAAGCAGATACCACCTCACACCCATCAGAATAGCTACCAACAAAGAAACAGAAAACAACTGTTGGCAAGGATGTAGAGAGACTGAAATCTCAATGCACTGTTGGTGGAAATGCAAAATGGTATAGCCACTGTGAAAAACAGTGTGGCAGTTCCTAAAAAAATTGAAAATAGAATTACCATATGATTCAGCAATTCAACTTCTAGGTATACAACCAAACGAACTGAAAAAAGATTATAGAAGAGATATTTATATATCCATGTTCACAGCAGTATTAGTCACAGGAGCTAAAACGTGGAAGCAACCCAAGTGACCATCAATGGATGAATGGATAAGCAAAATGTGGTGTATACGTACAATGGAATATTATTCAATCTTAAAAAAGAATACAATTTTGCCTATATGCTACAACTCAGATCAACATATATTATGCTAAGTGAAATAAACTAGTCATGAAAGGACAAATACTGTATGATTCTACTTATATGAGGTACTTAGAGACAAAACACTAGAGACAGAAAGTAGAATGGCAGTTGCCAGTGGCTGGGAGGAGGGGACGATAGAGAGCTATTTTTTAATGGGTAGAGCTCCAGTTTTGCAAGATGAAAAGAGTTATGGAGATGCATGGTGGTGATGGTTGCACAACATTAGGTATATATTTAGTATCAATGAACTGCACACATGAATATGGTTAAAATGGTAAATTTTATGTTTTATGTATTTTACCACAAAAAAATTTGAAAAGAAAAAACTAAAGGAAAAAAAGAAATCAAATTAATTAATGCAGAATAAAAGCATTTGATAAAATTCAACATAAAACTCTCAGTAGTAGTAACAGAAGTGAATTTCTTTGACTTGATAAATGACATTTAC